GGAGGGGATCTCCTGCCCCAGGCCAGGGCAGGGCCTGGTTCTTGCCCCAGAAGCCCCAGCTGCCTTGGCAACCCTGCGGGGTGGAAGCACCAGTGAGCTCATGGCACAGCTGGAGAGGATGGGATTGTGTGGTGAGAACTAATGGGTCATGCCCTGTCCGCCGCAGGCCCCTGGCTCCATTGTCTGGCGCAGGTGACACAGCTGAGCCATCCGGTCCTTCTGAGTGGGAATGATGGGGAGATAAGGTCGGGCTGGAAGCAAGGACAGGAGGAGTCAGGAAGCAGAGGCACGCTCTGTTCTGCCGAGATGCTATGTGGATGGCCAGAAATGGGGTGTTTCTGGGTTCTGAGGCAAAGCTGGGCCCATGCCACCTCTTTGAGCCCTGGATCCCTTTCATCCCAGCATCCCTTCCCTGTTCTCATAACAGGGCCAGCTGCATACCAACTTTCCCTAGGTTTCTCTTCCATTCACTGGCAGGAATCAAGATTGGTGCTGGTGGAGTCAGGTGTGGACCGGGACTCAGGCACCTCCTTCTCCTTCTTTTCCCCACAGGAATCGGGTGCTGTGCCCGGGAGGTGCTGGTCCCTAAGGGGCCCCTGTACCGTGTGGCTGGCACCACTGTCTTCATCCCCTGCAATGTGAGCGGCTACGAGGGCCCTGCCCAGCAAGACTTCGAGTGGTTCCTATACAGGCCTGAGGCCCCAGAGGCTGCACTGGGTATAATCAGCACAAGAGATGCCCGGTTCGCCTATGCTGTGTTTGCGCCCCGAGTGGCGGCCGGTGAGGTGCAGGTGCAGCGTCTCCGGGGTGACGCTGTGCTGCTCAGGATCGCCCACTTGCAGGTCCAGGATGCAGGCGTTTACGAGTGTTACACTCCCTCCACTGATGCCCGCTACCTGGGCAGCTACAGCGGCAAGGTGGAGCTGAGAGGTACCGGACCCTGGGATGGTGTGGGCCACACCTGCTCTCAGAGCAGAAATCAGGGTAGGGGGCTAGCTACCCTCAGGTTTTGTATTTGGGGAACTCGAGGACTTTAGGCCTCAAAGTCCCCCAATGAATCAGTGGCTGGTGTGAGACCAAACCCAGATGTCTTCCTTGCCGTCACTGTTGCTTGTTGATCAGGGTGTGTCCTGGGAGAAGGGGAAGTGTCCCTGTGCAGTCCAGGATCTCTGTTCCCCTCAGGCTGGGGAAGACTGATGGGTTTAATAGACTCTATTCCTGGAGGCCAGGACCCCAGCACTGGGGCAGGGAGAGTAGAGGTAGAGTAGAAGCTAGACTGTGTGCCATTCCTGCTCCTGAGTTTATCTTCTGAGAAGGAATACAGAGCTACTTTTCTGAGTGTCAAACAGGAGCCAGTGAGAGACAAAAGGGTGAAAGGCAATGGGCTGGTTTGTGCAGTTTGGCAAGTGTCTATCTATCTGTTTATTTTTTAAAACATTTTTTTCGGTACCTCGGATCAAACTCAGGACTTTGCGCTTGTAAGGCAAGCGTGATGCCACTGAGCTAATCCCCGGCCCTCAACAAGTATTTGTTGAGCACCTCGGTGTGCCCAGTGTGGTGGCACTGCTGGGTTCCAGAAGAAATGTTACAACATGCAGCCTTTGGCCTCTCAGAGCGCACAGTCTGTTCTGGGAAACAGTAGCAGGCTATGGGCTCCCAGCCCTCCCTCAGTCCAGCTGTCCTCTCCAGTTCTTCCAGATACGCTGCAGGTGTCTGCTGCACCCCCTGGACCCCGAGGCCGCCAGGCCCCAACCTCGCCCCCACGCCTGACGGTGTACGAGGGGCAGGAGCTGGCCCTGGGCTGCTTGGCACGGACGAGCACACAGGAGCATACACATGTGGCTGTGTCCTTCGGGCGAGTGGTGCCTGAAGTGCCAGTGGGCCGAGCAACTCTGCAGGAAGTGGTAGGACTGCGGTCTGACCTGGCTGTGGAGGCTGGGGGTCCCTATGCCGAGCGACTGACTGCCGGGGAGCTGCGGCTGGGCAAGGAAGGGGCTGATCGGTACCGCATGGTGGTGGGAGGCACCCAGGCAGGGGACGCAGGTACCTACCACTGTACTGCTGCGGAGTGGATTCAGGATCCTGATGGCAGCTGGGCCCAGATTGCCGAGAAAAGGGCTGTCCTGGCCCAGGTGGATGTGCAGACGCTGTGTGAGTGTGGGAACTGGGACGGGGCATCTCAGCGGGTGCTCTGGCCACCTGGGGCCCTAGATGGTCATCACTGGACTTCAGGGAACCCATTGACCATAGTGGGAGCAGCCCCAGGGGAACTGTTCCCTCCATACCCGTGGCCATGACTGGTTTTCACCACCTAGAAATGGGGAGTGGAGAGAGGAAGGGCGTGGCTGCAGGGTGAGGTTCAGGCCCCTGGGCGGGGGAGAGGGTCATATTCAATAAGGGGCAGGCCTCTAAATTGCTGCCAGCAAGGAAGGAATTACAGGTGGGGACCCAGGTGCCTCTGCACCCTCCCTCCTTGACCCCTTCCCCTCCTGTGTTTCAGCCAGCCAGCTGGCAGTGACAGTGGGCCCTGGTGAGCGCCGGATTGGCCCAGGGGAACCCTTGGAACTGCTGTGCAATGTGTCTGGGGCGCTGCCCCCGCAGGGCCGCCACGCTGCTTACTCTGTGGGCTGGGAGATGGCACCTGCAGGGGCACCCGGGCCTGGCCGCCTGGTAGCCCAGCTGGACACAGAGGGTGTGGGCAGCCTGGGCCCTGGCTATGAGGGCCGGCACATTGCTATGGAGAAGGTGGCATCCAGAACCTACCGTCTACGGCTGGAGGCTGCCAGGCCTGGTGATGCGGGCACCTACCGCTGCCTGGCCAAGGCCTATGTTCGAGGGTCTGGGACCCGGCTTCGTGAAGCAGCCAGCGCCCGCTCGCGACCTCTCCCAGTGCACGTGCGGGAGGAAGGTGAGCAGAGTGGGGCCCTGATGGGGTTCGGGTCTGCAGAACCTTTTTCCTTCTGTGACTGTGTCCCCGTCTTCCTCTTCATCAGCTGCCTCCTTCACCAGGATTAGGGGACCACCCTGCGCTTCCTGGGGGGTTCTTTGGACAACAGCCCTAACCTCATGACCTCTACCCTTCACCCTCTGACCTTTGCCCTTTTTTCTGCAGGTGTGGTGCTGGAGGCCGTAGCATGGCTAGCAGGGGGCACTGTGTACCGAGGAGAGACTGCTTCGCTGTTGTGCAACATCTCCGTTCGCGGTGGGCCCCCCGGGCTGCGGCTGGCTGCCAGCTGGTGGGTGGAGCGACAGGAAGACGAGCAGAGCTCTGCCCCTGCCCAGCTGGTGGGCAGCATGAACCAGGATGGTGTGGCAGAGCTGGGGGTCCGGCCAGGAGGAGGCCCGGTCAGTGTGGAGCTGGTGGGGCCTCGGAGCCATCGCCTGAGACTGCACAGCTTGGGGCCCGAGGATGAAGGCGTGTACCACTGTGCCCCCAGCGCCTGGGTGCAGCACGCTGACTACAGCTGGTACCAGGCGGGCAGCGCCCGCTCGGGGCCTGTCACAGTCTACCCCTACATGCATGGTGAGTGGCTCCCACCCTCCTCTCGCCTGCCCAGCCCCTGCCCTGTCCTTTCCGTCTTCCCATCCTTCTCCACATCACTTACCAGGAAGAGCCCCTCTGAGCACTGAGAGGGCAGGTGCTGGGCGGAGCTGGCTGTGCATGGACGGTGGGTCCAGAAGTCCTGACAGGGAGCGTGCTGGGCTGGGAACGAGTGTGACAGCATCTGAACAGCCACCCTGTCTCGCCCAGCTCTAGATACCCTGTTTTTGCCCCTGCTGGTGGGTACGGGGGTGGCCCTGGTCACGGGTGCCATCGTCCTTGGCACCATCACCTGCTGCTTCATGAAGAGGCTGAGGAAGCGGTGATCCCTTGCTCCCCAGGTGAGGGAAGAGATCCCCCCGCTTGACCTCCCCTGAGCTTCCCTGTGCTGTCCTGAGCTGCTCCATCCCAGGGCTCAGCTCTGCAGGATCCTGCTTGTCACAGGGTGAGGGCCAAGAGGGAGTCCTGCTTGCCCAGGGCTCTGTCCTTAGGCCACTCCGTGCTCTCTCAGTTCTTGTAGGTGCCGACTGTCTTCCAGCCAGCTCCAAGCCCTCCTCTGGTTGCCTGAGTACCCTTTCCCTCTGTCCACCCTGCCTTTAATTTATTTGACCTGCTCCTACCCAGGGTGGGAGATATGGCCCCCATTCCCATACCTTCTCTCCCAAACTCCTCCCTGGCCTTCTGTTCTTGGCCTCATACCCATCCTATGGGAAGGCATTCCCCATCCTCGAACTAGTTTTTTCTAAAATGTGAATAAACTTGTTTTATAAAATCCAGGCCTCACTGTGTCTTCCCCCGCTGTGAGGCTGTCAAAGGCTGGGGTGTGCAATAGGTAGGTTGTTGGTGGTTGACAACCTGTTCTGAACAGCCCAGGCCTCTTCCCACCATAAACACCATCTGGCCTTCGTGAGCCTTACCACCCACCCAGGAGGGCACACCTGGGGCCATCTGCCACCTGAGTTGTCACTGCTGAGGCAACTCCTAATGGGGCTCCTATTTGGGGAGGGGAGCGTAGGAAGGGAGGGTGAGATGCAGCTGAGCTTGGTCCCTGCTCCAAAGCCCTTTCCCATGTTATAGGGCAGGGAGCTCCGGGGCCTGTGCCCTTTGTGAGCTCCCAGACAGACCACACCCCTCTGCCTGTCTCCTTTGGGTTGGGCTAGTCTGGAGCCTGACTCCTCCCATCAGGCCCGGGGCCTCAGTCTTTTTCCTCCTGACCTCAATTATTCTGTCTGACAGCAGCAGAATAAGAGCCCCCGAACTTGGCCTGCTGGGTGGCAGGGACAGTAGCAGTCAGGGGATGGCCTGTGTCTGCTGCACCCACAGAAATGCTGCACCTACATAACATTGTGGCCCTCTTCCCCAGTGGGGCTTCACTTTCACCTAAGGATTCTGTGGTCCTTAAATTCTCAGTTGTTCTGCACCTTAAGAGGCATCCAGTCTACCTCTTTCAATTCAACTATTTAACATTTATTGAGTTTTACTAGTTTGCTATATCATTTTTACAGATGTGGAAACTGAGGCGCAGAGACTTATGGGACTTGCTCAGAGTCACACAGCTAATCAGTGACAGTGTTGGCACTAGAACCCCTGTCTCCTGACTGCCCTGTACAGTGGTGCCCTGAGCAGTGATGGTGGCGAGGACAGGTGTGGCAGCATCTCAGTGACTTCCGGGCAGGAGGGGCCTGCTGTAGCCTCAGTTTCTCCATCTGTTCCATTGCAGCAGCTTCAGTGCTAAATGAGTGTGTGGGGGAACCAAGAAGCTACCTCACCTGTCCAGACTCATCTGTTTCACTGAATTAACCCTGGATCGCTCCCCATTCCCCCGCCCCACATCTGTTCTTGGGGGAGCAGCCAATGCTAGCATCCAGGGGCCCTGGCTTTGACTGAGGGCAACTCAGGTAGCCCTAGGACCTGAGGCAGAAAGACATCCATGCTTGGACTGAAGGGCTTGGGTTCTTCAAGTCCTTTAAACAAGGATGACCTCTTTTCTCTTAGGAGACACAGTGCTCCACAGGATCCCTGCTTCCCAGCCTAGACCAGGATGGACTGGGGTGCCTGCCTCTTCCAAGCAGCTCAGACTTTTCTGCAAGGACGGGAATGGGGAGTACCAGGCCTGGAGGGAGAGCCCTGGGCCATCCAAGGACATACCCGGGCTACCCTTTCCCTGGGAGGCTAACCTCAGCTCCTCTCAACTGAGCCCTGGCCCCTTCTCTCTGCCCTCCCCTCTCCATCCTGGGATGACCCTATCTCGGTGGTACAGATAGCAGGCCACAGACACACCCACACGTCTGGGCTCCGCTCTTTTCTCATAGTCACTTCGGCCTCTTCAGTCTTTTTTCTTTTGTTTTTGGTACTGGGGATCGAACTCAGGACCTTGCACCTGAGCGGCTGCCTCTTTAGTCTTACAAGCTTTTCCTGCTTTAGTTAAACTCTTCAGCCAGTGCTTAGGTCTCCCTTCCCACACACAACACTCTACCCTTCCTGTTTCTCTGCTCCCGGAGGGTCCTCAGCTCACATGCCCCACTGCAATGTGGTCCCAGTCTAGTAGCGTCAGCATGACCCGGGAACTTGTTAGACATGGCAATTTCTGGCTTCCACCTGACCTATTGAGTCAGAACCCTGGGAGTGGGGCCCAGCGATCTGTGTTTTAACAAGGTCTCCAGGTGATTCTGTACACAGCAGTTTTACAACTGCAGGGTTTCATCATTTCCCTTGCCTTACTCAACTCCTAGCTTTCTGATTACCAAAACCATCCCATCCCCTGCTCCAAGAGATTGCACAGGTTCTCAGTGTGAACTGGACCTCATTCCACTGCCATAGGTATATTCCTGTTCTTCCCATGTGCCCTGTGTTCCAGCAATAGGAACCAGGTTGGTGAATGTCCACTCTACCCAACTTCCAAGCAGTGATTTAAATGATCCCACAGTGCCCCCAAGGACAAAATCTGCTTTCCCAAGGGTTTCCCACTCTCTAGATCTTGCCCCTGGCCTTTCTTCAGCTGCAGAACCTCTCTCTCTGTGTTTCTGCAGTGCTACCTGCAAGATCTCACTTCACTGTCACAAAACATCCATCCCTTGCCCCAGGGCCCCAGCTCTGGCATCTGCTCCTGCTGCCTGTTGCTCTGTGCCTCAAGGATTAAGGTCCCTGATACTTTGCCAAGCTTCCTTGCAACCCTTTCTTCTGCTGAGCCTGTCACCATGGGAGGATGGAGGTGGGACGGCACCATCCCCCCGTGCCCATCTCCACCCAGGCCTCTCTCCTCTGGTTCAGTGTGGGCTACCGTGTCCAATTAGGTGGGCCACACACAGGGAGGCTGGCCAAGGAGGTGAGTAAGACTGTTTTCCCAAGCCATGCGTCTGGCCTGGGGCTGCATCTGTCTGGAGGAAAAGGGCACCTTTCTAGAATTTGCAGAGGTGTGCTTCCAGTATCCACAGCCCATTTACCTGTCCATCAGCCACCACCTTCCCATCCAGGCCCCACAAGTTCATCCTTCCGACTGTCCATCCACCCATGAAGAGATGTGAAGGTCAAACACAGACTGGTATGCTCACCCTTCCCCACCCTCCACTCTTCTGAAACCAGGGCCCCTCCCTTCCTATTGGATCCTAGACTCAAGTTCTCAGGGGGCCTCTCCAAGGTCAGCATATTCCCTGCGACCTTGCCTGCTTCCTCCTCTTGCACCTCCACTATCCAGCTCCCCATGTACCTGTGTCTGGCCCCCTGTCTGCCACAGGGGTCTGGAGAAAACTGGTCACACCTTGGACTCATCCTCTGGGGGTGGCAGGCAGCCATTCTGCTCCTTGTCATCCCCAGGTCCCCCACCTGCGCCCTCTCCGGCTCCTTCCTCCTCCACCTTCTCATCCAGCCGGCTGGGGATGGACCAGTAGAGATGGGCATCAAGGCGGGCTGCAGCCTCTGCCAGCTCCCTGGCGCTGCATGAAGGTGTGGGCACCTCAAAGGTCTCATGGAAGCTGGCATAGTCCACCTCGTAGAAGCCATCCTCCAGGGTCAGCACTGATGTAAAGCGGTGGCCCCACAGCACCTCATCCACCAAGTAGGAGCTCCGAGCTTGGCATGTCATCCCTGGGGGTGAGGGGCATAGGTCAGTGGGATCCCAGCCCCAGGGGTCCTTCTCCTGCCTCTCCTCCCAAAACCTGGTTCCCAGCACCCTTCCATCCACCCCTCCCTAAGGGCCCCCACTGTCCTTTGGTCCAGCCCTTTCTTGCCCATCCTCACTCAGTTCCCTCATCTCTTTTCCACTTGCCAGTCCACACTTCCTCCTCTCTCTGGTGTTGCCAATCAGAGAAGCTTAACCTTGAAACATCACCTTAAGGATCATGTGGTCTAACTTCCCACTCCACACAGGGCTCCCCACTGGAGCATTCCCAACAGTGGGCATCTAGCTTGTATTTGGTTACCTCCCAGGATGGAGAGCTCACCACCTCATAAAGGGCCCACTCCTTTGAGTGATGGCTTTGTAGTTGGGTCATTGTTTTTCATACAAGCTGAGATCTGCCTCCTGGGATTTTCACTCTTGAAATTCCCTTCCACTTGACACCCCTTTGGGTGTCTGAAAACAAGTCTCGGGTTTTCTTATGTCTTCACCTCTCCAGCTGAATGTCCCCGCCTGTTCCTCAACTGACCTGGCTTCCACAATTTTTACTTTCTTGATTGCAAACCCGAATGGCGAAGGGGACCTGTAGGTGCCCCCTGAGCATGGTAAAGTCTCGCACTGTGGCCTGATCCATACATAAGAGAGGGCTCACTATCTCACTACCTCTTGCTTCTGGCCAGGCTGCTTTAACTAATAGGGCCCGTGATTACATTACATAAATGGTTTTGGAAGCCGCATCACATTGCTACGACATCAAGCCCATGGCCAACTGAAAACCCTCAGTTCTTTTTTTCACCAAAGCTCTTCCATGCTGTGCTTACATAAGTGATTTTTTAAAAGCCTAAATGTAGAATTTTATATTTATTCCTTTTTAAATGTCATCTTGTTGGGTTTTGGCTCATTATTCTTGCTTTTCAAAAGCATTCTGCATCCCAAAATATTGCCATCCTTTCCGGTTTTATCTCTTCAGAAAAATCAGATACCCCATTCTGCTTTAGTTTGTCAGGCCTGTGACCTGTCTACCCTGTCTACTTGGGTGTTGCATCCCCAGGCCGGGTTATTCTCCTACCCCAGAGCCTCTCTGAAAACTATGTACCTCGGAACAAATGCGGAGGGGTTGTAGAAGAGTGACCACTGGCGAACCAGAGACTGAATCTACTACTGAAACGCTGGCCCTGGGACATCCGGGTGACACTGGCTGGAATAGGAAGAATCCAGTGGGAGATGGGAAGAAGAGGAACGAGGGAGGGAAGGAAAGAGGGAGGGGCTGAGAGGCAACGAGGAAGGGGCTTGGGGACAAAGGAATAAGAGGGCAGGGCAGGAACCTCCCTGAAAGGAAGGGGTCTGCCTGAGGTACTGTGGAAAAACAGCAAAAGCTGGAGAGCTAAAGGAAGGGCATCGGGGTGAGGGAGGAAGAAGGAAGCGCTAGGGAGAGCCCAGGGCAAGTGAAGGAGAAATAGGAACATGGGTGGGGGGTGGGGGGTGGAGGTGGGGTGGTGTGCTGCAGTGGTCAACTTGAAGGGATCAGAGCAGGGGTGTGAAGACACCAGCACAGCGAGCAACAACAGCCCCTCTGGCCCTGGCACCATGGCCGGAACTGCAGTGCCCCCTAGTGGGCGCTTGGTTCTCCGCTTGCATTTTCCTTACCCAACCCCTAGATCTCAAATCCTAAGGGACAGCTCCCACTTTGGTCTTTCCCTACCTGTTCCCAAACCCTTCACCGTGTAGGCCTGAGATAGAGGTACAGACATCACAGGTGAGTTCCCAGCTCCTTAGGGGAAGGGGCTCGAAATGGTAGCATTCATTTTCCTTGTCAGTGGAAGCTAATAGTCTGATGGACAGGATAACTGAGGCAGAAGTAAGACCAGGTATCACCCTCTCCTTGAGGTCCTCTCCTAGGAGTGACTCAAGCCATGGGCAACCTTCACCATCAAATTCCAGGGACCTACACCTCTCAACAAGAAAAATCATGACCCTAGCCCCTCAATCCCTCTCTGGACCTCTAAACACTGAAGCCGGCAGCCTTGCGTCCAATCCAGATACCACTTGCTACTTACTGGCCTATGATAGTGGACAGTTAGCCTCTCTGTTGAAGCCAAGTCTCGGACAAATGAGCACAATACTCAGAAGTTACCTTCAGAGGGTTCCAGCTAGGATTAAATGAACTCAGAGGTGCAAAGTGCTGTGGAACTGTGCACCTGGAGTGTTAGGCACTATTCTTCCTCCCCTATTCCAAGTGGCACATACCTCTCAGTATTTCAGAGCATTTCTCAGTATTTCTCTAAGCCATTTCCAAGAACTTTTCCAAGCTTCTTCAGACCCTCTGCGGAGTTGTGGGGTTCATGCCTCCCCCTGGCCGCTAGGTCACCCCGTATCAATCTCCCATCCTCCACCAGCCTCTCCCTCCATGCCGACTCCTCTTCCTGCCCCTGCTCTTTTCACCTGGGAACCCCGCTCCCTCCACTCCTGGGGCCCGCCCGCACCCGTGGCTTCCACCATGCCCTCGAGGATGACCACGATCTCGAAGTCGTCTCGCTCCAGGGCGCGGCGAGACGCCTCCCAGAAGGGGCTGGCGGCGTCGATTTCGTGGCTGATGACGAGCGGCGAGACGAGGAAGAGACGGTCGTCGCCCGTGTCGAAGCCCACGCTGAGGTCGGTCTGGTGCAGCGGGATGAACTCGCCCTCCAGCGTCTGGCGCGAGCGGATGAGCTTGGCACGGATGGAGGCCTCCACGATGTGCGAGGAGCGCAGGTCGCCCACGCGGAACATGAGGCACAGGCGCCCGTCGCGCAAGGACACCACGGCGTGCGAGGAGAAGACGAGTGTGGCGGCGCGCTTGTTGGGCTGCGAGATCTTGACAAACATGCAGCCCACCATGAAGGCGTTCACCATGGAGCCCAGGATGGCCTGCAGCAGCAGCAGCACGATGCCCTCGGGGCACTGGTCGGTGATGACGCGGTGCCCGTAGCCGATGGTGGTCTCCGTCTCGATGGAGAAGAGGAAGGCGGCCACGAAGCCGTTGAGGTTGTTGACGCACGGCGTCCATGCGGTGTCTTCCAGATGCTCCAGGTCGCCGCGGCCGTAGGCGATCAGCCACCAGATGGCGCCAAAAAAGAGCCAGGTGAGCGCGTAGGCGAGCACGAAGAAGAGCAGGCTGAGGCGCCACTGCAGGTCCACGAGCGTGGTGAACAAGTCGGTCAGGTAGCGGTAGGTCTCGCGCACGTTGCCCTGTTGCACATTGCACCTGCCGTCCTTCTCCACGTAGCGCTGGCGCCCGCGGCGCCGGGGCGGCTCTTCCGGCCCGGGCGAGAAGGCCGCGTTCTCCTGCGCCATGGTGACGGTGACGACACTCGGCCACAGGTCAGGTCGAGCGCGGCGCGCGCCTGCAGGCCGCTGGGGGCCCCGGTGGCGTGGAGGGTCCTGGAGGGGCTTCAGAAAGGATTGCCCAGTTAACGCGACCGGCAGGAGACCTCGGGGACAGCCCCAAGGGGCTGGGTGATCCGGAGAGCCTCCCTTTGCGTTTCTCAGCCTCAATGTTCCCACCCATAGAATAGGGAACCATACCTAGAACCTTATCTGCCCCCAAACTTAGAAAACGGAGGATCCAGGGGGACAATACACATTAACGGGATAGCACGAGCCAAAGCCGACCATTGTTTTCAGAGGAAGAAGGTACTTGTCACCACCACTTCTAGCCTGGGGGTGCAGCAGCTCGTGGGTTTCCTGAAACAAAACACTCAGGCCAAGAGGCTCCCTGGGGGCAGGTGGTTAATCCTCCTCTATGGTGTGGAACCCTCGCTGCCCCAAAGACTTCTGCCACCCTTTCCCCAGCTATTGTGCATGCACCACCCCCTGCCAGTGACTGTCTCCACAAATTCAACCCCCTGGCTCTTCTGAAGTTCATCCCTAGACGAAAACACCACCATCTTTCCTAGGTTTCCCTCCTTGGAACTCATTCTCTTCACCTCTCTCCTACATGCTCTCCTCACAACAAACTTACCAATGACAGAAACTCAAGCTGTGGCAAGTAAGTGAAAACTCTCCTGTGCACAGGGGTTGCATATTCCCACAGTAGGAGATTCCCACTGGAAATCCTGGGGGCCTAACCATGGTCATTGCTGTTCTGGTGTCACCCCATTTCCCCTGAGTTCTTTCCCCAAAGGAGACAGCCTAAAAATGGGGCTGGGGTGGGGAGAACCAGAAGAGAGGAGATCAACACCTAAAGCCAAGGTAAAGGAAGTATAGGGCTCGCCAAGAGTTGGGCTCGTGTCTCTCTCATATTCTGTTCTTCGTAAGACGTGAAATCAGACCGAGTGAGGCACTAGGCACCCACCTTTCTCCTCCCCCAGATCTTTCCCCGTAGCCTCCTACTTCCTGTTCACTATCTACATCAGTCCCACTCCCACCTGCCGTATGTCCCAAAGCCCACATTCCAAGCAAAGCCCACATTCCGAGCGAAGTCTACCTGATTTTCCTTCAAGTTCTCCTCTCCTGCAAGGAGCTCTTAGAGCTACAGTCTGCCCTGAAAGACAGAGGTTCAGAGTCCTTCCTTAGTTATCCAAGGTCTCCTAAGAGGGATGGACTACAAAGACAGGTCTAGAATGAGGATTTAGGATTCGTCAACCTTCCTTCTTTTTCCTGGGAATTGTCCTCTCCCCCGTTCCAAGGAAACTTGGGCTGGTTGCAGGTGGAGGGGGGCAGGGGTGTGACAGAAGGATCACAGATGGCCTGGACATTTGACCAGGTCTTGGGCAGACATTGCCCAGATAATGCAACTCCAAACCCAGCGTTCCAGATTTTAAGTTCTGGAGTGAAGAGCTTTGAAGACGGTGTGTTTATAGAGGTAGAGGGCTGAAGAAGAAACGAAAAAGAGATGGCCTGGGGCTTAGGACTATCACCCCCTCACTCACCGACACACTTTTATTTTCATGCAGTCACGGCACACAAAGTCCAGGAGCACCAGGCAATGGCAGACCAGAGTCTTCTTCTCCCCAATAACAGGACTCTTTCCCTTCCTGCAGCTTAGGATGTCTGCTGGAGGTGATCTGTGGGCATTTGGTGGCATAGACACCCCAGAGCATGCAGCAAAAGTACCCAGGTCTCGTTCACGCAAGCTTTAGCCCCAGGCAGGCTTCCAGACCTTCTCTTGGAGTCTTAGAGAATCTGATTTCCATCTCTTTGCCCAGGGATGTGGAAGGGACCCCAATGTCTGATCACCCCCAGAACTCTCTTGCCCCGTGGACCTAGGTGAACCTTCTTTTGAATGTGTCCCATCTTCGGTTTTCCTGAGTGAGGGGCTGTATTGCTGTCATAGGGGAGGAAAAGTATGAAACTGTTGCCTCTCTCTCAAGATCAAGGGCTTGGGTTCTGCACCTTCCCTCCAATAATTCCAGTTCCTCCAGCCTACTCCTCATTTGTGCATGCTGTGACCCCTTTTCAAAGATCCCAGTACCACATTTTCCTGGGTCCTTTTTCCTCCCCTGAGAGAGTGCTGGACAGCAATGGGGCTTATGTTTTTTGAAGGAGATCTAGTGAAAGCTCCCCAGGAACCAGCTCCTCCCAAACCCCCACTTGCCTTGGCGATAGGGCCCAAACCCCAAGTCCCCGCAACTCAACTCACAGTGCGCGGAGAGGAGAGCGGCTGGCGGCAGAGACCCCTGGGGGGTGGCGTCCATGCCCCTGACGCTGCCCCCCACGGGCCCTTTTGGAGAGTGGCAGCCGCAGACACTGCTTTCTCCTAAATGTAGCGGCAGCTCTGACTAGGACTTGCTATCTGTGTCATCCCCACTTCCCAGGCTCCCCTGCTCCTTTCTCGTTTCCACGGCAACCAGTCTGGCGACAGCTCCAGAGCATCCCCCTCCCTTCCCCAGTCCTGGGTACCACTAGGGGCTGATCCACACGCCATAGCTATTTTTAGCCAAAGTTCCTCCTCCTGGACAGCTCAGAGCTCGCCTCCTCACCCCCTCATACAGAAAGGAAAAAAAAAGGAAAGCAAAGCAAAGCAAAGCTGGTACGCTGGTCCTTTCCTAAGGGCCTCCTTGCTCTGGGAAAAGATGGGCTCTGAGATGTTTGGGTGTAGTGTTTGGTTTTCTGGGGTTTCAGAGGGCCACCTGGGAGCTGGGGGTTCGTCACCCCCCAAGGGGATATCTGGGTACAGCTGCCGCTCTGGGGTTAGGCCAGTGGTCATAGTTTCCACCTTTGGAGGGGCCTCTGATGCAGAAGGAGGCAGCTAGAGGGAAAAGTGACCCGACGAGTCAGCCAAGAGAGGCTGGGTCAGGAGTTCTAATCTATGTCACTGATTTGTGATGTGACCCATAGGATTCCTTTCACCTCTCTGAGCCACAGTTGTTCCATGTCTCCTAGGGTGTGGGTGTGTGCAAATAGTCCCTTTCTACCTACTTCACATGTGTGCTCATCACATTAGGCCATAGAAACAGACTGGCTTCCAAATACATTTTATTAATAGAAAAACATTGTTCCAGATGTCCGACAGAGAGAAAGGTTTCAATTAGGGCTTATGTGCTTGTTCATTCAACAGACTTATGGAGCCCGAGTGCCAGGCAATGAGCTAGATGGAAGTGGTTGTAGAAATGAAGAGCTCCTCTGTGCATGAGAAGCTCGTGATCTCTCATTTAATCCCCATGACTATCCTGTGAGGTAGGTATCAATTTTTCATTCACAGATGAAAAAATTCCAACCGAGAAAAGTTAAGTGTTTATCAAAAGCTAACATTGGCCGGGGATTTAGCTCAGTGGTTCCGCCGCTTGCCTCGTAAGCGCAAAGTCCCGAGTTTGATCCCTGGTACCAAAAAAAAAAAAAAAAAAAAAAAAAATCCAACGTTGAACAAAGATACAAGATCAACTCTCACATCTGTGTCATTACCTCATGGTTTTCTTTTAAAACACTTAATTTTTAAAGAACAGTTTTAGATTTACAGCAAAAATGGAGCGAAAAGTACAGAGACTTCCCAATATGTTCCTTGCCCCTACACATGCATAGCTTCCCCCATTACCAACATCCCCCAGGAGAGTGGAAGGTTGATTACAATGGATGAATCTACGCTGACACAGCATGATCACCCAGAGTATGTAGGTTACATTAAGCTTCACTCGAGCTTGGATGTCCCACAGGTTTGGATGTGTAGTGACATACATCTGCCATTGCAGTATCATACAAAGCTGTGTCTCATCTCTGCTCTGCCTTGTCATTCCTCCTTCTGCCCAACCCCTGACAACTGTTGCCATTGTTCTGCCTTCTCCAGGATGTTCTATAGTTGGAATTTTACAATATGTAGCTTCTCAGGTTGGCTTCTTTCACTTTGAATTTAAGGCTCCTCCGTGTCTTTTTTTCCCCCAGTGCTTAGCATTGGACCTAGGGCATTTGCATGGGGATACATCCTGAGCCCTTTGGCAATGGGCCCTTGCCAAGGTTGCCCAGCCTAGGCTCAAATTTGCAGCCCTCCTGCCTCAGCCATCCAGAGGTCTGGGATCTCAGGGGTGTGCTGTTATGCCCAGCTACTCCATGTCTTTTTTTTGCTTTGTACCAGGCATTGAACTCAGGACCTTGAACTTGCAAGGAAGGTGGCGGAACCACTGAGCTAAATCCCTGGCCCTACTCCATGTCTTTTTATGGCTTGGTAGCTTCTTTCTTTCTTTCTTTCTTTCTATCTTTCTTTCTTTCTTTCTTTTTCTTTCTTTTTGGTACCGGGTATTGAACTTGGGACCTTGTGCTTATGAGGCAAGCGGCAGAACCACTGAGCTAAATCCCTGGCTCTCTCATTTCTTTTTGATCCTGAATAGTATTCTATTGTCTGGATACACTACAGGTTTATTTGTCTGTTCTCTACTGAAGGACGTCTTCGTTGCTTCCACATTTGGGCATTTATGAATAAAGTTGCTATAAACATCTATGTATAGGTTTTTGTGTAAACACAAGTCTTCAGTTCCTTTGAGTAAATGCCAAGGACCGTGATTGCTGGATCATAGGTAAAAATATGTTTAGTTTCATAAGAACCTGCCAAGCTGTCTTCCAAAGTGGCTGTGATATTTTGTACTCCTATTCAGTGTGAAGTCCCATTTCTATTGCTCCATATCATGCCAGAATTTGATATTTTCAGTTTCATGCTCTCTTTGCAAAGTTATACTACATCTGTAGTGTAGTATCTGCTGTATACAGTATAAGAGGTTACTGGAAAGTCATTGTTATGGCTGTGTTTATATATGTGAATGTGTATATAAATACACTGTTACAAACAGAGCATAAAATATTCTTACAAATTGATCATGACTATATGGGAACACCTGAAGGAACACTGACAAAAACTAAAAAAAAAGTGGAGAAATGGAAATACTTCAATGTTCATTTTCCCCAGAAAAATAATTTTTTTGTTATTGCTGGGAATTGGACACAGGGTTAAACAGCCATTTTACCACTGAGCTACCCCTCTGCCCCCAGAACCAGAGAAATAACTAAAAGCGGAGAGTTGGTATAGAAGTGCAAGGATGTTGCTATTATCAATATTATTATACACAAGATATAGACTTATTCTTCTCCAGATCCTTCAGAGTTTGGAGAAAATATGAGCTGAAAGAGCAGGAAGATGTGGCAGGTCGCCGGAGGGCAAGACATTCGTGGAATGAACTGGCAAGGGTGGGCCGAGGTGCTGAGTAACACAACCTTGGGAGGCAATGACTTTGGGTTCAGATCCCAACTCTGTCAGTGCTGGGTGACTTTGAGTAAATCACCACCTCTCTAAAGCTCACTTTTTTCATCAAAAAATGAAAATAAACATGTTGTCCATTTCTTAAGGTTTGTCATGAAGATTGCATAAAATAGTGCCTGACAAGCTACTCAGTAAATTTTAACTGTTATCTTCCACTCTTTCTCCTCTTCCTTTTCTTTATTGTCGGGCATCATCCTTGTCACCACCATCGCCGTCGTCACTACCACCACCACCTCGCCCACCACCGACACCACCCCGCCAGGGGTCTCCTGAAAACCCCTTCCTGTCCCGATGCTTCCCCCTGTTCCGGCACTACCCCGTGAGACCTGCAGGGGGCGCCCCTGGTACGCTGCCCTCCTGCCTGTGTTTCTTGTTGTTCCAAGTGGAAATATCGAGTTTTCAGCCTGAGATTGGCATCAGGAGTGCTGTTAAAGCCCCAGTCAACATCCCTGTCTCCTGGGCCTGGCCCTGTCACCCGAGCCTTGGGTCTGCTAACCTGCCCTTCTCTGTTCTGCCAAGTAGCTGCTCACGTTGGTTCCCCTGTGCCAAGAGGTCGGAGAGAAGAAACCAGACTCCGGGCAAGACTGCATTCGCAGAGTTGGCCCCACCTGCAGGAGGGAATCACAGGGCTGGCAGGGCCCTCCCGAAAGTGCTTTCACCAGTCCCCATCCCAGTAGTGGCTGAGCTGAACTTTGCTTCACTGACAGGAGATCATCACCCCTCGCCTGATTTACTGGCCCTGCAGCTCCTAGACTTTACTCGTTATTTAACCTTGATCTTTTGTTTATCGTTGAGCTTGAAGAGAGGCAGGAGAAAAACAAAAGTTTACCTAGGTACCAGGATACAGAAAAATAAACAAGATCATAGCTTTTAGGTGCTGAGAGAATGAAAGCAGCTTTGCAAGGAATCAGTTCAAATGCATCAGTGCAGCTGTGATGATGGGAAATCAGGGCTGGAGAAGGTGGGGGACAGGAAGGCCACAGAGGGGGCCCCATTGCTGCCTCTAAAGAACCTTGGCAGAAAATAGAAAAAGAACAGTCTGAGTTAAGGCACAAGGGCTGGCTGGCAAGTGCAACTGAGCCTCAGCCTGCTGCATCAGCAGCTGCCTTGCAGGAAGCCCTAGGGTCAGCCGATCTGGGAAGGAGTCTTTGAACAAGATCATGAGACTTCTGGGGCAGAAGCCTGGCAGTGGGAGAGGAAGCATGAAGGGGAAGACAGAAGATGACTGAAAATACGAGTTCAATGCCCCAGGAAGGCCAATCTAGTAGATTATAACAACTTGTATAACTAAGGGAGATGGGGCTCTAGAAAACTCTGGGCAGAGGAAAGATAGGGTCAAAGATGCGGATGTGGCAGATGACCACAGCTGGAGATTGGTGTGAAATGGAGGGAGGCAGGGACAGCTCCGGGACAGATGGAGGCCTGGCTGGGCTCCTGAGGCAATAACCCTCGTTGGTATAAAAAAATTCCCCAGGGTTATGGTGTCCCTTGTCACCATACAAAAGAACAGAGTAATTCTCTTCTCTCAGGATTACTTCTCTCCTGTTCATATTATGATTTAACTCTGCAGTATCACTCAAAGCCTCACGCACGGATTGAAGATGTGAACCCTAATGCAGCAATGTCCAGATATAGGACGCAGAGAGATGGTGGGATGGTGAAGGTGCTGACCTTATGGATGGACTGATCCATTGATGAGTTTATAATTGAATGAGTTATTAGGAAGTGGGGCCCAGTTGGAGGAAGTGGAAGTCACTGTGGAGCAGATTTTTGAAGGGTGTATCTTGTCCCAGGCCTGTCCTCCTCTCCTTCCCTCCCTTCCTCTCTCTCTTCCTCCCATCTGCCGTGAGGTGAGCCACTTTGTCCTACCATGTGTTCCTTGCCAAGATGTTCTGCCTTCTCTCAGGCCGAGAAGGAATGGAGTCAAGTGACCATGCACTGAAACCTCTGAAACCATGACCCAAAATAAACTTTTCCTCCTTTAAGTGTTTTTCTCAGACATTTTGTCACCACAACAGAAATTTGACTTGCACGGGTTAGCAAATTGTGTCTTCATTTATTGCTTCTTTCAGACGTACTCCTTCCAACTTTGGCCTCATATTTTCCTTTACCGTGTTCATAAGTATGGGGTCAGGACCCCCTCAGAGCACAGGAGGAGCAAAGAGGGGAGCTGCTGTTGGAGAAGGAGAGCCCGTGAGTGAGCATTGGTGTGAGGAGCTTTTGCTGAGAAAGCAGGTGTGGACAGAGGGAATGAGGAACCTTTGGGTTTGGAGGCATGATGGAAACAGAATAGACGACACTTGAGGTGGGAGGGGTTGGCTAGAAAGAAGAGATGTGGGGCTGGGGATTTAGCTCAGTGGTTCCACTGCCTGCCTCACAAGTGCAAGGACCCGAGTTCGATCTCCGGTACCGAAAAGATAAAAGAATAGAGATGTGGACAAGGCTCCCCACAGGAGTTCAAGGGATATTTTAATGTTTAGCCCCCACAATGCCAAACAAATTCCACTAGTAGTGGGGCACCTAGTTGCAGGCCACAGAGGAGAGCCCCAAGAGACAGACTGACTGACCCCTGGTCACCCTGCCCTTCTGTCTATTTCGAGTAGAGCAAGAAGATCCGATGCCTTCTCCCACTTGGGCCTACTTTCCTTTATAGCACCGGATAGAGATAGATGAAGATTTAAGCATCATTTGACATTTGGGGGCAGTACGAGAGTAGTCCTCACTTTGCAGGTCAGAAATGGGTGCCAAGAAAACAGGACTAAGATCCAGCCCATCCAACAGGACCCTGGTCATTTAATTTCCTGTTGGTGGGAACTTCTCAGAGATGTTTTCTTCAAGGTACCTCTTTCTGCTTCTGCCCTTTGATCCTTTCTTCTCTTCCCTCTCAGAGGAGTACCCTAAGTGTTGAGCAAATAATTTGGACTGTGACCTGTAAGAAGGGGCACCTGTATGGGGCTTTGATTCTAGGACACAGGGGCTGATATAATGAATGCATGTTGCCTCTTTCTTTGACTAGAGAGAGAGAGGGGTGACAGGTCAGTGAGGTCCTGGGCTGACAGTGATCTTCCTGATCTGGACAAAATTCAAGCTAGTGAAAAAAGACATCCTAGAGAGATGTAAGTAAGGGAGACTTAGTAGACCTTGGTGGCTTGATTGGCACGCCAAAGGATGGGGTATAGGACAAGGGTGAAGAATACACATTATTTTTAGTTTTTTAGTCTCCTTGACCAAGAGTAACACAGAAAGAAGGAAGTCACAAGCATTCCCAGCTTCGAGGAGGAGGAGGATGAGTTCTGACTGGGGCTTGTCAAGTGAGGGTGGAAGTCCCCTGCTGGCAGCTGTGATCATGGAGGTGAGCTCCCAAGAGAGCGTGAGGTTGGTTGGGGCATCATTCGGAGACACTGTAAGTGATTAAGGCTCAAAGAGCAAAACACAGAACGGGAACACAAGATTGAACCATGAGTGTTGTAGAAGGAAGTGGAGTTTGGATCAATGGCAGAAGGCAGGGGTGGAATGGTGCCAGGTCCAGGTTATAATGGGCCTTCTGCTCCGTGGGAAGGAACTTGACTTTTCCTGAGAGACCACTAGCAGTGATTGAAGGTTTTTAAACTGGGAAGTGACAAGGTCAGATTTGTGTTTCAGAGAGAGATTCATTATTGGTGCATAGTTACCTTTACATAAAGGAATTCATGATCTGAAGGAAGAGACAGACTGGAGGTAGGACAGCCAGTCCTACCTGCTACAGGAACCCTGATGGGTGGTGCTGGTGTCCCAGATTACCATAATGGTAATGGCATTTAGAAAGTAGATGCATTACCCTGTGTGTGTCACACACGAGCTACTCAGGAGGCTGAAGCAGGAGCAACTGGGCAACTTAGTGAGATCCAGTCTTAAAATAAAATGAAAATGGCTGGGCACACAGCTCCATGGCAGAACTCTTGCCTAGCATATGTGAAGCCTTGGGTTCAACCCCCAGAACCCCTCATAAGATGCATTAATAGATTAGGGAGATGAGGGGAGGAGGAATGAAGAGTCAGGGTGGCTGCCATGTTCCTGGTGGGGTGATATTAGTCTTCTCACTGTGGTGAGAAAGAAATGAAGAGGAGCATTCTGTGAGCAGGATTGTGTTGAGTTTGAAATGGATAGCCAGGTGGGCTGGAGACACTCACACAAGGGTAGTAGTTGAAGGCAAATGCTTGGATAGCATTCTTGTAAAAATAGTAAGTACACAGTAAATGCTAATGATGCCATAAGTCATTGATGCTCTTTGGTTTCTCTTCTGTGTGTTCTTCATTATATTTGGTAGGTTTTCCTGAGTTTCCAAATCCTTCTGACTCTGAATGTTGGGGCTGTGGGATCTTTTGGATGTCCTATCCCTAGCACCTTTAAGCTCCTACAGCAGCACCACAGGGCAGCCTTCAGACCACCTCATCACCATCCTTCATCCCTGCTGACTTGGGAACACAGGTGAGCAGGAGCCTGAAGAGCTGAGAGATAGTTTCTAGCACATTGTTCTGGCTTTGATTGTATTTCTCTCCATTCTGAGTAAAGTTCTCAAAAGTGTAGCCTGTACTTGCTAATATTTTCTCATGTTAGAAAGGTAACCCCTTGTAATCTGGTTCCTACCTTGTTCCTGCTTCTGCAGCTGCTCTCACATGTCACTGATGCCTCCTGTGTGTACCTGGAGACACTGTTACAACTCCCTCCTGAACATTTGCCCCTTCTTTGGCTTTTGGACAGCCCACTCTGCTGTCTCCATTCTGCCTGTCTGGTGGATTCTACTGCTCTTTGGGGGGTCCTTCTCCTCTCATCCTCGAGGTGCACTTCCTCCCTTGTGCCAGGCTGTGTCTCCATGTGCAAAGGTTTTGTGGGGAGCTTCTTTGCTCTCATGATTTCAATCCATCCTGCCTGTCAGCAAGTATCTTCTTCTCTCTAGTTCTGACCTCTTCCCACACCTCCCAGCTCTGAACGCATCATCTCTTCTTTCCCCTCAGTTGTTTCGCCAGGTTGTCCCCTACCCTGGACTTCTCTAAATGATCATGAATGATCTCATGGTCTCCCCGATTGCTAGATTTCAGACCCTGGTGCGATGTCTGAAGCTTTTCTTTGACTCTTCATGTCAAGTGGGTCCCTAAGGGTTTTGTTGGTCCGTTTTGACTTTTCTGTACTGCAATTTATTTTCTCTGTTCCACCTTTCACGGACACCATATTGGTTTGGGCTCTCATCTCCTCATGCTTGCATTTTTGCAATTTACTTTTGATTTCATCTACTTGCCTATTGTTTCTCCTTGATTCAAACCAGCTTGCTCATCTTGAGAATAACCTTCCTAAAGTTCTGGATGGTGCATGTTGTCTTCCTTGTGCTCAAGAACTTTTAGTTGCTGCAGAAACTCTGGGCAGCCATGTGATGGCTCTGTATTTACTTTCGGTTTTCCTCTCAGAAAAAAACCTATGCTTTTGGTGCCTAACCTTTAGCTCAGTCCTCCCTTCTTCCCCAAACAGGGCTTTTTGAAGGGCATGTTATCCATCTGGGCTTCTAGAGGTTAAACTAAACTAAAATTTCTAGTTTTTTCCCCTCTAGGTTTATACCAGCTCAATGTGGTTACTGATTAGTAATTAAACGTCTATGGTGAACAAAGACGGGGAAATGATTATTTCCTTCTTTAATGCCAAGAGACAAGATCATGGGTAAAATCCTCTCAGAACACAAATTCAGGTAATGAAAGAAGCCCTTGGTGTTGAAAAGGTAGAGAACCACCACGCGTGCTCTACTCCACTCCTGTTCTGAAGCCGACTTGTATTTTCGTGTCCCCTGGGAGCCATGTTTAGGTTTATCCTCTGCCGGAAGTGTCCTCCCCACCTACCCTCCTGTCCCCCCCCCCCCCGTGCCCGCATCCTCTGCCTCTCGGGGCGCTCGGCAGGTGTCATCTCCTTCCTCCCACACGTGCCCGGAGCCGCTCGGTACAGTGGTCTTTCCCTTTTGAAGCCTTCGCTCTGTCCCACACTTTGTCCCAGCTCCAGGATTTATCCTCCCTGCCGCAGATGGAGAAGATGTTGGGTGCATTTCGCACACAGCACCCCACTGGCTGCTTAGGAAACCGTGCGTAATAGGGAAATTGTGCTGAGCGCAGCGGCCCCGCCCAGTCTGCCCCCATCTCTCTCCCAGGCTCAGCCCGCAGGGCCGGTGGACCCTGCATTCATTTCCACCTCATTAACTCGCCCCCGCCCCGCCCCGCAGCTCCCGCTCTCGCTCCTCGGCTCTGACCCCTCCGCCTCCCTTTTCTTCCTTCTCTCTTCCCCTGTCATCTTGCCAGCTCGGCCTCTATCGCTCCGCGTATCGTCTCTGCATCTCTTTCTCTCTGACCGTCTGGGTCTCCGCCTTTGCCTGTTCTGCGCCTCCATCCGTCTGGGTCTCCGCTTCCTCGATTCCATGGCACACGCCCCCTGCTCAAGCCCGCCCAATCCCGGCCGCCAGGCCTGGCGCTCCACTCTCCCATTGGTCTGTCCGGAGCCCCCCGCCCCCGCCGCCCGGCCCCTTTCTGGCCCCTCCATTCACACAAAGTTTGGCTCCTGCGCTGCAGAGGGAGGGGGCGGCCCGGCCCGGCCCAGCTCTGTCCCCCGCCGGCCCGACCCCGGCCCCATCCCCAGGACAAGCCCTTATCTGATCCCGGCTCCGGGTTTAAGAGTCCTGGCTTTGCCGGTCGCGCGGCTCTGCTCCTCACTCCTGCCCTCCCCGTCCGTCATCTGTCCCGCTGTCCCGTTCGAGTGGCCACTCCACCTTGGGACCCAAGGTAAGACCCTGGCCCTGATGAAGCGTTGCCGTCCTGGCCGGGGTCCTTTCCACTTAACTCTCCAGAGACATCAGGGCCCCACGGCTCCTTGGTCCGTACCCTGGCTGGCCTCGGGGTACCATCCTGTGCCCCTTCTCCCAACTTGGGCAGTCCCAAACAGACCCCCCTGGAAAGGGCTCTCCGTGAGGGGTCCTCTACCCATGACATTCACTTCACCCCTTTAGTGTAAGGAATGCCCCCTCCCACTAGGCGCACCTGCTGTTCCAATTACTACAGTGACCACCATGCATAATTATGCACCCCTACCCAGGCTCACAGACAGCGCCCCCTCCTCCCAATAGGGACGGGTCACTTCCCCGGTCAGCTCCCCAACCCCGGTCACAGTGACACTCATAGGATGACACCCACAACCACCAGTTCACACGTGGGGAGACAAACTCGGGTCAGATTAGGGAGACAAAGCCCTTGGGTATGTCTCCGTCACTCCCTGGCCATCTCTTCCTTTTCTGACTTGGCTTTTACTTCAAGACACCCCTCCTTTGGGCTGGGGATTTAGCTCAGTGGTTCCGGCGCCTGCCTTGTAAACGCAAGGTCCCGAGTTCAATCCCCAGTACCAAAAAAAAGAAAAAAAAAAAAAAAAAAAAAAAGACACCCCTCCCTATGACTTCCCGCCCCTCCCGAGCTATTTCATGGGAGAATCTCAGGAAAAAAGGAGCGGGGTTGCTTCTTCTGGAGTAAGAGAGCAGACTGGGATTCATAAATGCATCCTCTGAACAGAGAAAGCCCTTCCCATTCTGTCCCTTCCCCCTCCCCCTGCCACCAGGACCCAACCAAGAGCCCCCGAGTTAGAGAAGAGTTGAAGGCTGCAAGGTGCTGATTTGAGGGAGGCCAACTGAACCCCAGGATGGGTAGAAAGAAGAACCTGAGACAAAATAGCCCTGGGGCTTCTGGTATCTTGAGATTTCATCCCAATAAATGAAGTCCCCCAGGCAGGTGGGGGCAGATGGGGAAGTGGGGGCGGTGGAAAGACCAGTACAAATTGGGATCCAAAGTGAAGGCAGAGCTTAAAGCCTCACCAAGTTGCTTATCAATACACATTCATACCAAAGACTTCCGGCCAGTCTGCCCTTGCCCAGGTGTTTGAATTTTCTTCTCCCCCTTGGGACTGCTTTAGGTAGTCTGGGTGGGGGAGAGATGATGACAGAAGATTTGATGCCCTCCTGCTTAGGGGTGTTGAGGAGGAAGGGCATAGAGTGGGTGTTAAGATACCAGCCCCAGGGGAGGCTGGCAGCCACCAACAAGTTCGTTTGTTTCAGTCTAAACCTCTCTCATTGATCTCCAAAGATTTTTGAACATGTTCCTGGCATGACGGTGGGCACCGTCCTGTGCCAAGGCAAGGCTTGTTAATTCCTGAGCATGTAGACTGTGTATGGGGACCAAGTCTAGAAGAAGCCTGGTGTCTTGGCTCATGGCTGGTCCTTCAGGGAGGAGGACGGGGGCACAGGGAGGGAAGCGTCATGCCAGGGAGAGGGTCCAGCTGCACTCCTGAGGCCATAGGCATGGCCCAGGCAGTGCCAACTCCGCCCTCACCCCGTCCTTTGGTGGTAGTGGTGAGGGAGGGAGGAAAGGAGGGGGAGTTGGTGGGTGATCTGGGCCAGTCCAGCCTCCCAAAGCCCTTGCCAACCTGGGTCCTGAAAGGAGCTGCTGTTTTCTAAGCCATCCCCCACCCCTCCACCCAGGGCCCAGGGCAGCCAAGTTGTCTCAGTGGATATCAAATGGCAATGACTCCACTGACTGTTGGGGTGGAGGTGGGAGTGGCAGGGGGTGCGGGCTTATGGTCCCATACCTTCTGCAGCTCTAAGGCAGAATCTCATTGCTGCCCCCTACCCTGATGGGAAAAAGTTTTGTCTAACCAGCACCTGCCCCACATCCAGCGTGTGGGTGTGTATGTTTGTGTCTAGGGATTAGCTGCCTGCCCACTGACATCCCCCACTGCCTCCATGCAGCCTCCACCTGTGCCACTCTGTGTGAGCTCATTTTCAGCTCCGGCTCTGTTGCCTTGGAATAGAAGGAAGTGACAGGCAGAAGACCCAGGGACTTTCCTTCCCTTGTCCTTCTTGGGGCCCAGGGAGGCTGGCATAATTGGACCTTGGTGGGCTCAGACGAAGTGCTCTGGAGTCATCCTGGAGTTGATGGAGTAAAGGGTCAGGACTCTTGGGGCTAGGACATGCTTCGAGACCCATTTCTCAGTGGAGATTCTTGGGCCTTTTAGAAAAATGCTTGGCTTCTGCAGAAGAGATATAAAGATAGACTGAGGTCCCTAGCATCGATGGAGAGGGAGAGACGTTGGGTGGTGGAGCCTCTAAATTTTCTGTGAAAGGTTATTTAGGATAGAAGGGGAGGGCTGGGGATTTAGCTCAGCGGTTCCAGTGCTTGCCTTGCAAGTGCAAAGTCCCGAGTTCGATCCCCGGTACCAAAAAAACTCCCCCAAACCCCACAAATCTCTAAGATAGAAGGGGGGGAAAATCCCTTGATCCCCACCCCCCTCCATTCTCAGCCTAGATTCTTCTCTTGCCTGACTGATCAGTGCTACTGTCCACGGTGAGGCCAAGCTGTCCTGAACACTGGTGAGGCCCTGGAAGGGGCAGAGGGAAGGGAGAACACAAGGCATACCACTGAGCTAAAACTGCAGAAAGATTGGAGAGAAAGGGGAGGTTTGGATCCGAACATGTAGCCCCCAGTGAAGGGTGGTTGGCTGGGGCAGCTCCCAGGTCCTGTCCCCTCAGTCTCTCCCCCAGGCTGAGTTCAATGCTTTGCTTCCTTCCTCTGCATCTAGTCTCCATGTTGCCACCATGTAGCAGCAAATCCTGGTTTTACTACTTGGTAGCCACACAGGGCTCCTCATGTCACTATGGGGCTAATAATAGTTGTGAGAATCAAAAAAGTCAATATTTGCAAAGGGCTTAGAAGGTTTAGCAAGTAAGAAGTGCTGTCGCTGGCTGATAGGGTTCTCCCACCTCTCTTGTGGAGAGAGTGCGTCCTGGCCAGTTCCTCTTCATCCTTCCCCCACCAGAACCTAGAAAGGACAAAGAGAAAGGGATTGTGGGAGAAACCCTCCCGTGGGAGTCTGCCAGCCTGGAGCCTGGATTTGAGGTGGTGGGAAAGAGAGGAGCCGGCTGTGGAATGTGGGAGAGATGTCAGTGCTGACATGTGTGGCCTGTAGAAAGAGGCTGGAGAAGTGGGGGCTCGGAGGACGGAGTTTAGCACTTCAGGCCTCCAGAAAGTTCTGACATGGGAGGGGGCTATATGATCCTCCTACAGCTTTTCCAGTGCCAGAAAGGGTTGAGGCTGTAGCTGGAAGGACACAGGTTAGATCTTAGGAAGCACATCCCATAAAAGGAAAGACATTTGAGCAGGGGATTTAGCTCAGTGGTTCCACCGCCTGCCTCGCAAGCGCAAGGACCCGAGTTCGATCCCTGGTACCAAAATGAAAAAAAAAAAGAAAGAAAAACGAAAAGACATTTGAAATGAAGATTGGAAAAGAAAGGGAGATAAACTTCTTGGAAGGGGGGAACAAGCAAAAACAAACCACCAAATAGGCTTCAAACAAAAAGCCCATCATTAAGGCTTCTGAGAGATGCTATGAGGCCCAGAGGAGTAGAGGTTATTGTGACAGGTGACAGGGGCCGCACCTGGATGGCTGGAGTGACTCCACTTTGCAGCCCCAGGCGCCCCTCTCTGCTCTGAGAGACAGTAGGAGCAAAGAGCACAGTGGTGGAATTAGACTTCCTGGGCTTAATTAAGTCCTGGTTTGTCTACTCGGTAGCCACACAAGGCTACTCATCTCACCATAGCTGTGAGAATCAAAAGAGTCAATATTTGTAAAGGGCTTAGAAGGCTTAGCAAGTAAGAAGTGCAGTTGTTAGCAGAGGGGGTCCTCCCACCTCTCTGACCCCTTCATCTTTCTTGTCAACTGGGCCTTGTCCTTGCCCTCCTAAGGTGCATTTTTCTGAGATTCCGAGGTTCTGTCCCAGGTCTCAATACGTCACCTTTCTGGAGTTTGGGAAGGTGGACAAGTGATCAAAGAGTTTAACATGAAGTTTCTGTTTTACTTCAACTGCCTGGTCGCCACCAGTGGCTGGCTTCACACCCACAGCCTCTTCTTCCCACGAGTTTTGCCAAGCAGATGTACTTCTTCAATCAACTCAGATTCTGTGACTGTGAACAGGGCTTTCAGGCACCCCACACATAGTCTCTCTCCCTATCCTCAGCAAGTTCTATCTTCGAAGATGTCAGCTTCTGTCCATCCCCACATTGCCTCCTGTACTGTCTGGAAAGCCTCTTTTCGCCTCTTCCTTACCGGTTTGCCCCCACCTCTCTCAGGTTTACGTGCCCTCCTCTTCAGGCCTCTGGTCAGCCTGTCGATCCCACCAGCTGTTGCCCATGGTGGCCTCCTGGATGGCCTCCCTGACTCCAGCCTCTCTCCTTGATTCCTTCCCTTTGTCCAGGGGGCAGTCATCACTAGAATTGCCACCACAAAACACCAGTTTTATCTTGTCCCTTCCCAATCACAGTCTTCAAGAGACTTTATGCTCCTCTCCCTTCTAGCATCCCATCTCTTGGGACCATGTCCTCGGGGCCATATCCAAGGGAAATCTCTGAGCCATGTACCCACTCCCAAGGCCATTCCAAGTTCCTTCTTTCCTGCAAACTACCATCCTGTTTCCTTCTCTGCCATCTTGCTTTTCCTTTTCATCTGTAACTTTGTCCAGGATGCCCATGCATGGAAATGTTGGAGGAGACCCCCTCATTACCTTGAGGGCTCCTTGAGGGTAGGGCCTGTGCCTTGTCAGTGGGGGACTCCCTGAAATAATCTTCTTTCCCTGAAGCCCTTGACACCCAGCAAAGAGGTTGGCTCCTAGGATGCAGAGTGGCCACTGTCCAGCTGGACTCCAGGCAGGAAGCCTTTCTGCTTGCTCATTTTGGGGAGAACCTTCACTTTAGAGGATTATGTGGGAATCCTGCAGTAGGGTGTACAGAAGACCCCATTATCCTGCTCTTAGGGAGCCTCAGGAGAGATTCCTCTCCTACTGACTGCTCCTCCTGTGGCAAAGCCTTCACTCTAAGATGACCAGGAGCAGACAGGCCCCACAGAACCGCTGCTCTGCCCTCACCAGGGAGGTCTGACTCCAGCCCGATGCTGGGCTTGTCAGCTGCTGTCCAGAGTAGAAATAGGAGGTAAAGGTCAGAGTCCAGCCTGGGACAGTCCATTATCCTGGGCATACCTCGGAGCAGGACCTTGCAAGGTGGGAGACACAGGGACTCCTCCCCAGAGGTACATAGGCCTGACCTCTTAGTGTTAAGCTCTCCTGGCCTGGCTGGGGCAGCTCTACCCCGTTCCCCTTCCCATGTACTAGATCCAGGTGCACATCCTCTCCCTGAGCAGACCGCTGGCCAATCCCATGATAAAAAGTCACAAGCAGCTACAGAGAGGAGGGTGCAGAGAGTGGTTTTCAAACTTTTGACCTTAGGACCCCTCTGCACTTAAAAATTGCCAAAAACCCCCAAGAGCTTTGTTTGTGTAGTTTATAGCTATTGATATTTACTATGCTAGAAATGAATGCTGTAGGGACTTAAAAATCATTACTTTTTAAAAAATAGCAACAAAAAGCCTATTGCTTGTTAACATGACTTTTTAAATAAAAATAGCCACATTTTCTAATAAGAGTGACATTTTCTTACATTTTTACAAATCTTTTTAATGTCTAGCTTAATAAAAAAACATAACTGGTTTCTTCGAGTGCTTCTATATAAGCTGTCAAGTCGCTTCTGGGAAACTCCACTGAACTCTCCTGAAATAATGAAAGTGAAAACAGCAAATAATGCAGTGTTACCATTGTTAAGAAGAGAGGTTTCACTTCATGTAACCCTCAAAAGGATTCCTGGGCTACACTTTGAGAACTGCTGGTTAGAGAACCTCACATTTTCAAAGAACCGCAGACCATGCTGATTCTCATGGCTGATTTTCCTGGCTGAGAGGGAAACAGTGGTCAATGATGTCAATTCTGGAGACAAACTACTTTCTTTAGCTTGAATCTTACTTCTACCTGTCATTAACTATGTGACCTCGGACAAATCTGTCTCTATGCTTCAGTCTTCTCGCAATAAAATGGGGCTTTAAAAAGCACCTACTTAGCTGGGTGTGATGGTGCACGCCTGTAATCCCAGCCCTCTGGGAGGCTGAGGCAGGAGGATCACAAGTTTGAACTCAGCCTGGGCAATTTAGTGACTTAGCAAGACCCTGTTTCAAAATAAAAAATATAAAAGGCTGGGGAGATATAGCTCAGTGTGAAGGCTCTGGGTTCATCCCTAGTACCACAAAGAACAAAAAAGTCACGGAGCTTTTAGAGGTGCTGAGGATGAAGTGACATAACACTGTTAACGTGCTAAGGACAGTACTCGATAATGAGAGCTCTTATTAAACTCAGAGCCTTTTCCGTGAATGCACACCGTGTCCATCAGACTAGGCAGGAAGACACGGTAGAGATCCTTCTGTGTTACAGAGGGGCCTCTTAGCTCAGAGAGGGCGGATGACTTGTGCAAGGTCCCCGGCTTATTGGGCCCTGAGACTCTGTGTGTGTGTGTGTGTGTGTGTGTGTGTGTGTGTGTGTGTGTGTGTGTGTCCTGAGACAGGGGAGGGAGCAAATCTCACCTCTCCCAGTAATCCCAGGTGAGGACCAGGGCCCATGGAGAACAGCAAGATATCTTGAGGGTAGCTAGCAGGGGACACTGCCTGACAGCAACTGAAGAGGAAACAGAAAGTTGGGGAGACATTCGCAAGCCCCAAAGACTTTTCTGCCTTGGCTGTAAAGTGCCCCAGTCCTCTCTCCTGGGGGGTACTGGGATGTCTGGGGCAGAGAGCATCTGTCATTGGGCAAGACAGAGGTCAGGTGGTGCCCATTCTCTGGATGCTGCCTGCAGCACTGTCCTCCTGTCCCAGCTCCCACCACTCCAGGCCCCTGGAGCCTTCTCCTTGTAGCCTTTTCCCTGCATCTATCTCTGCCTTTGGGCTGTGGGGCTGAGGTAGGACATGATACCTTGGGAAAGGCAGCTGGGGCCATGCCTGGGCTGGAGAAGAGGGCTGTACAGACAGGAGGAGCGGGTGGGGGAGACACAGGTACACACTGGGGAAGAGCTAGCTCTGGCTTGTTGGCCCTTGGGCTGAATTCCCCTGGGCTGGGTGGCTGCTCCTCGGGTCAGTTCAGGCTGAGCTCCCTGGGAGAGCTCACAGGATTGGGCCTTGTGCTAATTGCTATGCTTCCTTCCTCTGGAGCAGCTTCCTCAGTAGAGGTCCTAGAAGGTGGTACCCCAAGGAAGCAAAAGCCCAAAGCCTCCCAAACCTTGAGCACGTACTCTTTCTGAATTTTAGAGGTTCAGATCGCAGCCCCACCTTGAAAGCTTGGCTACTCTGAGATCTGAGATGCAGCCCCAGGGCTGGGGCCCTGGGCTTTGGGTTGAGACCCTTCTATCCAGTCCTCCTACCACACTCCTAGCCCGAATAGATGGCAAGACTGAGGTACGGAGTGGTGGACTCCCTCAGCTGCCTCCCACACCTTTGTCCCCGTGTCTTCCTCCATTTAGAAAGTACTCTCTGGTGAGTGGCAGGTTTGGGGGGCCCTGGTCAAGTGTCCTGTGCTTGGGTCCTGAGCAGTGCCCCCAGGAGGGCCCTTGGGGGCTGAGGTCTCCTTAGTCTCAGCCCTGCACCCCCCCCCCGTCTCTCCTGATGCCAGCAGCCCCCCAGCTCCCGCCCCTGAGCTGTGGGACAGCAGAGGGCTGAGGGGCTGGCTCTGAATACTAATGTCCTTGCCCATTGTCAAAGCCCCTTTGTGCCAGAGAGCTCCATTGAGGCGGCTCCGGGGCGGGCACAATGGGGGCTCTGTCCCCGAGTTCCCCCACACAGTCACCTGCTTTCAGAGCCTCCCCCCGCCCCCCACCAGTCCCAGTGTCCGGAGGGCCCAGAGAGCATGGAGGAGTGGGCCCAGGGCCAGGCACCCCCCCCCCCTCTCTGGGCAGGCTGGAGAGATGGGCGTTTGACAGGGCCGACTGTGGAGGGCACAGGAGGGGACAGGCCCAGCTCCCAGGGCGGGGGCAGTCTGTGGATGGAGCTGGAATGCAGGTTCTGTGAGACCCGAGTTGGGCAGGGCCACTCATAGCCTGCCCACGGCTCCTTCCAATGCCCAGCCTGGGCCCCCAGTGGCCCAGCCCCATCCTCCTCCTGCCACACACTCGAGCTCATATATGCAGGGACACACGGGCCCGCACTCATCTATGCAGCCCCACACACGGCTCCCCACCCCCATGCCCACGCAGATGTGCCCAGATGCAACACAGGATCCGGACCCAGAGCTGCGCTTTGCACCTCGGTCCACCTGCATACCTCCTCTCACCCACAACCCGGCCCTCTCGCCCGTTTCCATCAGCCTCCACCCTCAGCACCACCCCCTCCGCACCCCCACTGCCCTCTGCTGCTCTGACACAGGTTATAACAAGTTTGCACTTGTTGTGACCTCGAGAATGTGGCCCTGAGGCGGGAAATGTCCTGCTGCCCAGACCACACCGCTTCTGTGTTAACCACGGACACAACCTCTTCGGAACTCAGAGTGGCTCTCCCACCCTCACCCGCACCGTAGAGAGAGTTAGGGGCCCAGGACTCCCCAGTCCCGGAGCTGAGTCAAGCACACTGGGCAAAGGTACAGTGAAGGACGAAGCCCCATCCTGATGCAGCACAGGCCCAAGGTGACTGCCCTTCGCATTTGCCCAGCGCGCTTGGGTGGGCATAGCCCAGCCCCTCCCAGCCCTTTGAGGCAGAGGGGACAGTTCTCCTTTTCTGGATGTGCTATGTCCAGGTACTTGGTGGCAAGGCTGGGACCAGAATGGAGGGCTCTGCCTCTAGTTTTGTTTTACTTTATCTTATTTTTCTGTCTCTTGGCACTACTCAGCTGATCCCTTACCCCAAAAAGGATTTTAACAGGGCTAAAATTTATCACTTACTCACCTTCCTTGGGAAGCAGTGGGTGCATGGAGGCAGAGAGAAGAACATCAGGTATGGGGACCTTAAACAGGCTTCTAGGTCTAGAAAGAATCTCAAAGGTCACTTTGACCCTTCCACTGCCTCCAGGCAGCGTGAGCCTACCTCCTTTCATTTCCTACCTTTTCCACCAATCCCACTCCTGCTACTGACCTGGGCTTTCATAGCCAGGCCTTAGACTTAGAGAGAGGCCTCTACTCATTACAAGTCCTCGGTGATGCCCAGCTCTGACTGTCCCAGCTCATGTCCTGTGTCTGTGCAAGGATCTGAGGGGGGCATCTGTGCTTGTCTGACTGATCTGGTCTGGGAATCTTCTAGCAGCTTGGAGCAGATGCCCTCCAAGGGGAAGAAAGAAAGGCCCACCGACATCCCAGGGACTTGAGGGCTGACTGCACAATGGTGTGTTGGGTGCTGGGAGGGCAGGTGGGGTCACAGCTGCAGAAACTCCAGTAGTCAGAGAGCTAAATTGAGAGTGTTTTGCTCCTCTGCAAGTGTTACCAAGTGCTCATGCTCATTCGAATTGTATTCTTATCTCATGTCTAGGGGCCCCCACTCCTCTGGCTACTGGATTCTGCATAAGCCACCTCATCTGTCTGTCTTTGTACCTCCTCTAGCCCTTATACTCTGGTGTGGTTCTTCTGTCTCCAAATGTCCCTTTGAATGCCTCCTGTTGGAGAAAGGAGCCTACCCAAAGTATAACCTAACCCCTCCTGCTGTACTGGAGCAGTCAGTTGTTTTTGAGAGAGACTGTGTCTCTATCTAGTTCTGTGTCTACTCAGTATCTACATGCTACCCCTACTCCATTCTCCTTCTTAAGTGAGGAGTGTGGATAAGGAACACATGAAAAGCTGGAAGGGGACAGAGCTACTTCCTCCCAGGGTGACGGTGGACCCCCTCAGACTTCTCTATGTGAGGGTCAGAGGTTGCTCTGCATACATGGAACTGTAGCGTTGAGACAGAGAAGGAGTTGAGGAGACCCTGTCAGAGCACATGGCTCAGTTCTTTGAGTAGGAATTATAGGCACAGAGCATCTAAGGGGTTCCCTTTCCTCCAGGGGTGCAAATGAGAATAAGTCACTTAGGCGGCAGCAGGTACGATTTGACATAGCAGGAAGAATATCCTGAGTTTAATATATTACTAAGTATAGGGGAGGGAAGAAAGAGGCGGAGAATTCGCTCTTCCTGGTGAGGAGAGGTCCTCTTTAGCCACCTAGTGAACAAAGTCTGGGTAGCTTAGGAGACAATTCCAATGGCTCCCAGAGCCCCAGTGGGCCAAGGGCTTTCCGACTGTCTCAGAGGAATTCCTGTGGCCCTTTTCACTGCCTCCAGAGAGCATCATTGAGTATGAACCCTGCCGCCATGCCAGGGACCTTGCTATTTGCTCTTTATTCTAACTTTTCTTGTTGGGACCCAGCTGCTGCAGGCGATTGAGGGAGAGCCCTGAGAACTGTTGGATAGAAGGGTCTGATAAAACACGTCCTGGACAGGGGAAAAACCTCATGGGCAATTTTCTACCGATGGCTCTATACCAACTGACAGTTTGGGCCCTGAGAGTCAGACCCTGAAGGAAGAGAGAAGCTGGGGTGAAGAAGGCCTGGGTCGTGGCTCTGATTCTGATTTAAAATGAGACCCCTTACTAGCTTGCTATGAGATCTTGGGAAAGTTGCTTCTCTTTTCTAGGGCTTGGCTTCCTCTTCGGTGAAATGAGGGAGGCTCCCAGTACTAACATCTAGGACACAGCACAGCGGCAAGATAACAAGCAGTCTGAGAAGCCGGGGTTCAGCTTGCAGGACTATCCCATCTGCGGGCAGTCCTCCTGGAGAGCTAAGCTCTCTAAGTCTAGTTTCCATGCCACAAGCACAAGGGCAATGCTTTCACCAGCCTCCAGGTCCAGTGACATCTAAGCTGAGGCCTGCAGGAGCAGAAATTAGCCAAGCAAAGTGGGACGGTCCCTTTTATTTTCGAGGAACTGTTGACAGAAGAAAGCGTGGTGAGAGGTTTGGTGTGGGCGGTGAGCAGAGAACATGTGTGGGGGGAGGAGGGTAGAGAATACTGATGCTGGGGAGGTCAGCAGAGGCCTGATTATGATGTACTCTGCCCACCTGTCCTGTCAGCCTCCTCTGCTCCCTTTTCTGACTTTCCCCTCTTTCTGCAAACTCATTCTTCTTCTTCTTGCTCACATGGGCACTTGAGGCACTGGGACCCCATGAGGACCTGTTGGTCCAGGGTGGAACTTCAGGTCCAGTGCCGACTGGCCCTGCAGCAGCTTTGGGCCAAGGCCTGATATTTTTTTCTGCCTTTTCCACCATGGAAGAGGAATCTGCCTCCTACAGAAGACTCTGGATTTCCGGTGTTGAGGCACTCCTGCTAAGCACAGTGTAGATACTATGGGCCTCAGTTTCCCCACCTGGCCACCCTCACCCCTGAGAGCAAGAAGTGTGTTGATGGATGGGGCTGAGGGCGGCTTGGAGTAGGGACTGAGGGAAAGTAGAGAAAAGATGGCTTCTCTGTCTGGAGTCAAGGTTGACAGGAGGACTAAGTTGGTGCCTCCAAGTGCCCAAAAGTTCAATGGGAAGCAGAGGAGGAAGGATTTTAAGTCTAGAAATAGCAGGCATGGAGGAGAAAAACATGAACAAAATACAGATTAAGAATCAGTTCCGAAAAGATTCCCCTCTTTGGGAAGAGGGCATAGTCCTTGCTGGAAGAGAGGGGTCAATAATTGGAACCTATGAGAGCTGCCCTTGGGAGATGCTTCCACATCAGAGAGGGACTCTGCCTCACCACCCTTCCTCCTTGTCTTTGGGTCCCCCTCTGTTAGGTGCAAGCCCTCCCTTGTCACTAGCCAACATGCCTTCAAGATGACTGGTGAGAAAGTGTTTAGAGAAGAGGTCTTCCACTGGGATCTTGTCAGTCTCTCTTCTCTGAAGTTGGGATCTCCACCAGGGCCCTGGGAGCCCCAAAGAGTAAGTCCTCTCAGCCTGGAACTTTCTCTAGTTTCCCAGACTCAGGTGACAGACATCCTGAGGCCTGGTCATCCCCGACCCTGACGAGCTGCCAGCTCCTTGGAGTCCTGCCTGAGTTTTGGGATGAAGGATGGGCAGATACTGGGGACTGGAGGGCAGACACTGAGGAACTAAGCAGTATTTAGCTTTCCTTGCCACGTGTACTCCCCATCTCTAGGCAGTTGAGAGGGTCTGGGAGGAAGTCTCATCTTGAGAATGATAGAAAAGTGGGTTAAGGGACAGTGAGTGGAAAGCCCCTTGGAATTCTGGGCTATAGTAAGTCCTATCTCACAAATCACCATTGGTAGCCTCCTGCGTGTGGAGAAGCAATATGAGTAAAAAGTCCCCAGAGATGGAGGCAGAGGTTCTGGTTTGCCATGAAATGAATGTCAGCAACTTATCTGACCTTGATGAGCCTTAGTTTCTCTAATTGAGCAGACTTTTCCTTCATCTGCAAAGGAAGATAATAATAATATCCTTATTTGTATAAGAACCTTGCAGATGACACATGGCTTATTTATCTCATGCTCTCCCTGACCACACAATGCAAAGTTTTACTGCCTCCTTAGGTGAGGAAACTGAACCCTAGAGAGATTAAGAGGCTGGCCAAAGTTCTCATAGTAAACGGCACAGACCAGGATGGCAAATAGTGGTGAAGGAAGAGATAAGGACATTTGGCTGTGACTGAGGCACACCAGGATAACAAACAGGTATCATTTGTTAGGCTAACTCCATTGGAGTGGAAATGGTTCTCTGGACCTCCATGTTAAGAAAGATTCTGGAGCACAGTCAGAAAAAAACGTACTGTGATGGATTAAGGATGCATGCTGGGGGTACTGGTAATGATTCATACATACTATAGAGTTGACCTCCCTAGTCCAGAATCACCTGGAGATCTCAAGTCTTAGTCCTTCTATATTAATCAATTAGGTTAAGTTTAAAGGTACTATCCTTAAAAGATGACTGAGATATAATCTGTGCCTTGGAAAAGCTCACAGCCTCTTGAGGGGTATGAAAAAGGGGTCCTGGAGGGGAACTTGGGGACAGGAGAAACATTGCAGGAAGAGAAGGATGCAGGAGCAAAAGCGTGGGGACAGGCAAGGGGAGCATGAGCCGTGTTCTCCGAGGCTGGGCTATGGGGACACAGGGAGCAGGAGTATGAGGAGGAACTGTGAAAGCGAAGTAAGTGCAGTCAGATAGCGAAGGATTCTGAACACTATGTCAAGCAGTTCGGCTTTCATCACCAAGGCTGTGCTGTCGGAGCCCATTAAAGGATTCCAAAGCAGAGCAGAGTGATGGGGTCGGAATGTTGTGTAGAAGGGGACTGTGGCAGCCTCGGGGTTAGGCAGGAGGAAGGCGAGCCCGGGGGCAGGAGGGCCAGGAGATCCTTGCAACATTTGAAGTGAAAGAAAGCAGGAGGCTGAACTAGGGCAGCCTCAAAGATGTGGAGAGATGCCCACAAGGCAGAAGTGATAAGACTTAGTGACCCCCCGGGATGAGGAGCAGGAATCAGATGTGACTCCGAGGTTTCTAGCCCGAGCACCGAATGGATGTAACTTTGTGAACAAGAAAGGACATAGACATACAGAAAAGACTCTTGAGGAGAGAGGACATGGGTCCGAGCATGTTAAAGTTGGAATGTTCCAGGTAGAGGGCACTTGTAAGCACTTGAGCAGATATCACAGAGGCGATGGAATCCACGGGGCGGTTGTAACCCTAGAGGGAGGGAGGGAGAGTGGTTGCGGCAGAAGGGCCACTGGGGTGGAAGACTGACAAAATGCCCTTGGATTTAATGACTAGAAGGTCAGCTGTGACCTTGGAGAGTTTCCTATTGCTTTTAATGCCACCCAGTGTTGCTGTATGGAGCAAGTAGAATTGTTTTGAATTTGACAAGTGCATTGTAGACTGAAAAGCCATACATTTTGCAGATGGTCATTTTTATTATTTTAAATGTTAATATTATTAGCTCAAATCTTTTGATATTAGCAATATGAGACCTGTATGTTTATTTATTTCTGTAGTGCTGCCAATTGAACTGCAGGCTTTGCACATGCCAGGCAAATGTTCTACTACTGATCTAAACCCCCAGCCCCAAGACCCATTTGTTTGTTTATTTGTTTGAGGCATGAGTTCAAGTAGGAATTGAGCTCACTGTATACCCCAGGCTGGCCTTGGATTTGTGTTGATCCTCCTGCCTCAGCCTTCTGCATGCTGGGACTACAGGTGTGTGCCGCCACGCTTGGCTCCCATTTATTTTTAATTGGTAATTTCATGTGGTTCCGTCTAATAGTAAAAAGAGTGGGCTCAGGTGTTGGTAGTGGCGGTGAGAGGACAGTCTAAGAGAGCAGGCTGCTGAAGCAAGGGCAGCCCTTGGGACTGGAAACCGCTGCCCCCTGGTGGTACAGAGGCAACTTCAGCAGGTGCAGAGGAGGGCCGGTAGCTGGTGATGTGGGGGAATTTGTGGGAGTTCTCTCTCACCTCTCCCACCACACATCAGTAGCCCTGCCCGACCCCTCTGCTGGAAACTCAGCAGACTGGGATGGAGGTGGACTCTCCCAAAGGGGACTTTGTCTGGAAGAATATTTCTAATATCTAAATTAGTTTGATTCCCTCAATCAATGTCTGAGAGAAGTTAGACATGGAGTCCCTCTGTGGAGAATCCTGGGGGCCTAGTCCTGGCCACGACTGATTGGAGATGAAGGACAGAGCTGGCTCATGAAGGAGGGATCCTGGACAAGGATGCTACTCATTGCCAACCCAGCCCAGACCCTCAGATTTTCCATAGCATCCTTTGGAACTTTCAGCATCTCATGTCTTACTGATAACAATTGGTTGGCAGTAACAGTAGGAATCATTCCTGTATGGCATATACCATTGCTTCCAGCTGAATCTCAGCACTGATAAACAGAGTTAGCATCTCAAGTAGATGTTCTCCTGAGGTGAGGACCCAGATGGGCCAGGCTGGAAGGTTGGGGTGTAGGCGGCTGTGGTACAGCCTCTGTCCTCAGTTGAACTCTGCACAGTGCCAAGCTCCTCACAAAGGACCAGCTCCCTGCAGAGGCCAGGATGTGCAGCCCTGCAGTCCCAGACGATGGTTAGGAGCAGACACCGTGGCCAGTTGATGACTCAGGGAGGAAGTTGCTGGGGGTGTTGGGGAGGTCGGAAGAGCAGGTGCACAAAGAGGCAGCATGCCTGGAAGTCATTCCCCTCTCCAGCCAGGGACCCAGGGGGTCCCTGAGATGCCACCCTCTGAGAAGTTCTCTGCAGGAAGACTGCTCCTTTCCTGAAGGGGACAGAAGGCACTGCCTGGGATTGGGATGGAGGAAGGAGCAGCGGTCCCGATCAGCTCACACTGACAGGCAGCAGTGTTGTCTGCCCTGAGGCGAACAGCTGACATGGCGCCATTTCTTTGTCCCTCCCTCTCTGGACTGGAAAACACACAGCGGGGTCAGAAGGGCCAGGCAGAGGTCACAGGCTCCTAGGAAATGCTTTGAAGGGTTTTATCCTTTCTTTTGATCAAACTGTGTGAACTTTCCAAACGTTACACAAGGGAAGAAAAGCCTGTTCTTCCCTGGGCCAGGGCTTTGGTGTCAGGCTGGGGCTGGAGGATGGGAGGGCCAGGGGAAAGGAGACTCCAGGGTGGGAGACAGAGGCAGCAGTGACTCAGCTGGAAAGTCAAGCCCCTGGACACACACATCGCTCTTTTTTCCCCACCTCAAGATTTGTGTGGATCTGGCTCCATTTCTATTTGTTTGTTTTCCTTGGGGCAAGACAGGAGGGAGGTTAATGAATAAAGACATTAAGTTTGAAAAGAACCCCAAACTCTACTCCATTCTTCTTCAACCTTGAGGGCTTACATAATCCTGCAGAGCTTTTCTTACTGCCCTTCCTCTTATACTCCTCTCCTTTCTCTTCTCTTCCCCTCTTGCTCATTAAGAACCCTTGGAAGCCCAGAAATGCTTCTTTTCAGTCCCCAGTGCAGCTGCTCTCCTTCTGGAAGCCTCTAAGATCACTATTCAAGTGGGACTTGGTGTCCTTCAAAGAGATAATGGGCTGGCGAGGGAATTCTGAGTAGTGTTTCCTTTCTCTACCAAGGCCAAGGGAGGAAGTTTGGTGGGATAGGGAGTTTTAAAGTGGGAAGTGGCCTTAGTTATCTTCTAACAGCACCTCCAAACTGACCCACAAAGTGCTCTGAATGCAGAGGAGAGGGAACTTCAACCCAGAGATACAGGAACTGTACACAGCACATCCTTATGATCTGTTTTTTTCTTAAGAAATGCAAATGTCTCATTGTACTTCACTGTATGCTGCTTGTATAATATTAAGATATTCTTGGGGCCGGGGATTTAGCTCACTGGTTCCACTGCCTGCTTTGCAAACACAAGGACCCAAGTTCGATCCCCCGGTACCAAAAAAAAAAAAAAAAAAGATATTCTTTTCCCTCAAAATCTTTAAAATGAGTATCTGAGAAAAATGTGCTACAGTGGATCCTGGGGCTCTGAGTTCCTCCTGGCACATGGATGTGTGCTCTAGTTGGAGAAGTGAGGAACTGATACAGTCTCTGCCCACAGTGAAAGAAATGAAGGCCTAGAGTGTTACAGACTGGCCCCAGTTCAGAGCACCTCCTCAGCAGAATTGTTATTGGCCCCCGTGTCTCTCGCTTCCCAGCCCAGAGCACTTTCCACCAAGCAATACTGCTCCTTATTTCTGGGCAGGGTCTTACCCATCCCTCTAGCTGGGTGTAGTGGTGCGCACCTGTAATCCCAGCATTTGGGAAGCTGAGACAGGAGGATTGCTGGCAATTCGAGGTCAGCCTGGCATAAAAGTCAGTTCAAGGACAGCCTGAACTATATGGCAAGACCCTATCTCAAAAACTAAAAACAAACAAGACAGAGAGGAGAACCCATCCTGATGCCTGATCCTTTCACTCCATCCCCAGAATACTATGTATGGACTCATCC